ACAGTGTTCTCCACACAGTGTCTGTTGCACCTCTGTTTTTCATTTGGTTTACTGTACACTTTCTCCCGTATCTCTCATTCCAGTAAGCTATGGCAATATGTATATTGGTGACCTGACCCTCCAGTATTTTCCATAATAGCACTGAAGAGGGCATTCCAGGCGATTTCAGGAGTTCGAGGCAGTTTAGACGCTTGAGATGTTTCGGATGGAAGCGTTATAGTTTATGATTGCTTTTGCTTCAGTGAGACTGTGATCAAGGCTACATTTGTGGTCCTGATGTTTCTGATAAGTTCTTCAGTGTTAGTATCAATAAAATCTAGGAAGTTATTCATTCTAGTCGTTATCATCACTTGTTAACTGTAGAATGACCCTGAAATGTGGCTGTGAGAATAGGTTATCTCGCCATCAGCGAACGGAGGCGCGAGTCTCCACCGTTGCTTGCACTGAATAAACCCACTTGGGTTCAGCACAGCACATAAATGTAATCTGATGTGTGCGCTTGTTGATTTTGCGCTGCGCCACGTGCTTGATAGTCTCAATTAACTATGATAATTATATTTGTAATTTGTTTTACCTGGTTATTTACTTATGTAATTACGAGGGTAAAACTTAATAGCATTTCTAGTCTCATCACCAGAGTAATTACCTGATTAATTATATTAATGTAATATTATGCTATTTTCTTTGCTTCACAGCAGTTTAGAATTGTTTTATGGTTTATAAAGTGGTAAACCCATGCGGGTTATTCGATTTAAGGAGTAATGGAAGCTCATTCTTCCATTCGCCCGGTCTCTAACTAGTCAGACTGTTGGTGATGGCCTCCAGCAGCGACTGAGAGAGCAGTCACCTGCAGAACATCTCACACCACTACTGGATATTTCAGTCCTCAGATCTTAAGTGGAGAACAAGAGACATGGCTTCTCCTCTCATTCCTTACTTCTCTTGCTTTCCTTCCTCTTTCCCTCCCCCTCTCTCTCTCTCTCTCTCTCTCTCTCTCCCCCCCTTCCCCCCACCCTATCTTTTCCTTCCCCCCCTCTCTCACATCCTACCTTCATCTTAATACTATTCACCTCTCAGCATCCACTGGTCTGAACATGTCTCATCTCTCACGTCACTCACACCCCAGGGGCGTTCTTACTCCCTTATACTCACTCCCTCACCCTTGCTCCCTCACCTCACTCTCACCCTTATTTCCTCGTCTTAACTCTCTCACCCTCACTTTCTCACCCACACTCTCACCCTCACTTTCTCACTCACACTCTCATCCTCTCTCTTTCACTTTGACTCATTCTCACTTACACATCGAAAGCTTTCATACCCCATCATCTTCATTATCGCCACCACTACCATTACCACCACTACCATCACCACCACTACCATTACCACCACGCTTGCCAACACCCTTGCCAACACAAACATCAACATCAACATCCACTTCACCACCACCACCCCCATTACCACCGCCCTCACCATCAACACCACCCCCATTAAAATAATTACCTCCCTGACCACCATAACTATTACCATTATCACCACCACCATTACCACAACCTACCCCTCGCCATCCTCAAAACTACCATCACCACAACTACCACCACTACCCAGCCATACCACCCACCACCACCACTATCCAGCCATACCACCCACCACTACCCAGCCATACCACACACCACCACCACCACCACTACTCAGCCATACCACCCACCACCACCACCACCACAACTGCCAATACCTTCCACTACCACCCACCACAACTACCCAGCCCTACCATATACCAACACCACTACCATCACCACAATTACCTAGTTCGAGCTCCCACCACCACCACCCACCACCATTACCCACCGCTATCCACCACTACCTACAGCTACCCACCACTACCTAGAACTACCACCACCTACTACCACCACCCACCACCACCACCTCCACCATCACCTCCACCAACACCACCACCAACACCACCACCAACACCACCACCAACACCACCACCACCAAACCACCACCCCCACCACCACCTCCACCAACACCACCACCACCACACCACCACCTCCACCACTACCACCACCACTACCACCACCACTACCACCACCACTACCACTACCACCACCACTACCACCACTACTACCACCACACTACCACCACCACTACCACCACTACTACCACCAGCACTACCACCACTACCACCACTACCACCACTACCACCACCACCACTACCACCACTACCACCACCACCACTACCACCACCACCACTACCATCACCACCACTACCACCACCACCACTACACCTCCACTACCACCATCACTACCACCACTACACCCCCACTACACCACCACCACCACCACCACCACCACCACCACCACCACTGCTACCACCACCACTGCTACCAGCCTACCACCACCACCACCACCACCACACTTCAGTCCACCATCGTCAGCCACTTTTTAATATTCATAGCATTTTTCGTGTCGCCTAAGATTGTAGAGTGTCTTAGGTGAACCCTCGTGACGAATACCTCCTGAGGTGGTTCCCTCCTTCTCATCCCTCCTCCTGCTCCTTCCTTCTACTCGGTGTGAATATTCCTCCTCCTGCCCCTCCTTCCTGCCCTTTCTTGGTACCCCTGCAGGAGTAGTATCTCTTCTCCCTCCTTCCTGCTTGTCAACCTGAGTAGTACAATGTAAGTACCACTTCATCCTGCTCCTCCTTTCTGCTTCCCTATGTGAGTTGTTCTTCCCTCCTGCGCCTCCTTCCCTCTTGCGCCTCCATCCCTCTTGCGCCTCCTTCCCTCCTGCGCCTCCTTCCCTCCTGCGCCTCCATCCCTCCTGCGCCTCCTTCCCTCCTGCGCCTCCTTCCCTCCTGCGCCTCAATCCCTCCTGCGCCTCCATCCCTCCTGCGCCTCCATCCCTCCTGCGCCTCCTTCCCTCCTGCGCCTCCTTCCCTCCTGCGCCTCCTTCCCTCCTGCGCCTCAATCCCTCCTGCGCCTCCTTCCCTCCTGCGCCTCCTTCCCTCCTGCGCCTCCATCCCTCCTGCGCCTCCATCCCTCCTGCGCCTCCATCCCTCCTGCGCCTCCATCCCTCCTCCTCTCCTGGATTGCGGATGATTACTGCATCTTCTGAGAAGTGCTAATTCTTTAAGGGTTATACAACACCTGGGGAACAGGAGGTGATCGGGTTTTGATCCGAGGTAGGGAAGGGTAGGTTAAGTTTCTTTGATTAAGAGCCCTTCACCAGTATCAAGAGCCCTTCACCAGCATCAAGAGCCCTTCACCAGCATCAAGATACTTGTATGGTGGCGTGGGGACGACGTGGATATGCCGGTGGTTCGTGTAGGTATGGATGAATGAGGTGGATGAGTGAGCAAATGGAAGAAGTGCTTTGTGTGACTGACACAGCAGCAGCAGCAGTAGTAGCAGCAGCAGAAGCGCATCACCATCAGTAACATCATCATCAGCAGCAGCAAGATCAGCAGCAGCAGCGCAGAAGCAGCATCAACAGCATCAGCAGGAGCAGCATCATCATCAGCATCATCATCATCATCATCATCATCATCATCAGCAGCAGCAGCAGCAGCAGCAGCACAGCAGCAGCACAGCAGCAGCAGCAGCAGCAGCAGCAGCAGCAGCAGCAGCAGCAGCAGCACAGCAGCAGCACAGCAGCAGCAGCAGCATAGCATCATCAGCAGCAGCACAGCAGCAGCAGCAGCAAAGCAGCAGCAACACAGCAGCAGCAGCAGCAGCAGCAGCAGCAGCAGCAGCAGCAGCACATCAGCGGCATGAGCAGCATCAGCGCATCAGCAGCGGCAGCAGCATGAGCAACAGCATGAGCAGCAGCAGCAGCATAAGCAGCATTAGCATCAGCATCAGCAGCAGCAACAGCTGCCGCAGCGGTAGTAGTAATCGCAGTAGTTGGTGGGAGGAGTCTGTGTTAATGGGTGGGGGAGTTTATGTAAATAGGTTATCTATCCCTATTTCTCTTCTGTAATTGATGTTCTGTGGCCATCTTGATAATCGTATTAGTGACGCCAGCTTCCGTCATTAGCCCATCTGGAAGAAGGGAAGGTTGTGATCAAGGCGGGTCAGGTTTTATAAGGCTCTTCTACCCTCGCTGTTTGACCTGAGGTCAGGCTTCCTTGTGGACCTCCTGATCATCAGGCAGGAGAGAGATAGTGGTCCAATTTCCCCTTGAAATCTTCTCTACTTTCGTTCTGGCAGTGTCTCTGATATTGGCAGAAGAAAGGATAGAAGAAAGGATAGAAGGGTGCGGAGTTGTATAAGCTTTCAAAAAGCAATTACTGTTTGAATCTACAACTAACCTGGAGATGAAGGCAACAAAAGAAAAATTGTAAGTAATGTATACCTCAACCTTTAACTGAGATCCTCCTCAGCATTATTAAGATGCTTTTCACCCCAGTTTTTCACTCATTGTTACCCAAAGTTTAACCTTTTTTTTTGTACTCTTCCACTTTCACCTGTAAATAACCTCTGATCCACTGCCACTAGAAGTAGTTCGCTAATAACCCCGTGTTACTTGAATTTGACCTCTGGTTCGCTTAATATCATCCTTTATACGGTTCCTCACCTCACCTGAGCCGCCATACTTGGCTTGTTGTAAACACCTCTACCACCTGAAGATAAGATTCCACAACTAACCCACAGACTGCAGATGCAAATGACAAGACGTTTCAAGTCCACGACCTGATAGTATTCCAGGACAGACCAGAACAGTCCAGGATAAATCAGAACGGTTCAGGACGGACCGAAACTGTCCAGGATGGACCAAGATGGTCTAGAACGGAGGGAAATGTTTTCTAGTTTACATCTCTATTTTGTGGATTTGTTGTGAACTGCTTCACTGTACCGTATATTCAATCTTATTGTTTAAACTTGACTTGTGACCTGTGACCTGTGATTTATGACCTGTGACTTATGACCTGTGACCTAAGACTTCTGACCTAGCACCAGCTGAGAGCACGTCTCCTCACCTGTCTCCCTCTCTCCCGGTAGAGTACCTGATGAGCGGCAGCAGTCCGAGGTACGGTACTGGCACGGCACCCAAGTCTCCAGGTGCCGGGGGAGGAGCCATGCTGTACGGCACTACCCCCGCTCCGGATTACCTCTCTGTCAACAACTCTCAACCCAGGTGAGTACGACCACGCCCCCCTGCCCATCCTTCCCACTGACTAGCATGTGAACCTTCCACACAGATAAAACTCCACAACCACCCAACAGGTCACCTATCCAGCCATCCATACACCCGCCTATCCAATTATCCACCCGCCTGCCCACCCAGCTATCCACCCACCACTGGAATTGGATATAACCTGATCCCATTCACCTCTCAGAAATGTAATAATAATCCTCATTAGTCATTTTACAAAAGAAGACTTACACTTAAGATGTAATGAACGCCAGTTAGGAAATAAACAGAACGGACGGGTGCTCGAACCGTAGTGCTGGCACAATACAGAACTGGGCCTCCTAGAGGCCTGGACAACGGTTCAATTCACTGTTCATTCTTCTCTTTCTTTAACATCTCTCCTGGTTATCTATGCGGACTCAGGTGCCAGATTAACCAGGCTGTGTGGGACAGCAGACCGCTAACAGCAACAGCCTGGTTGAGCAGACATTTAACTAGGAAGCTGGCCTCGGCGGAAAGCCCTAGAGACTAGTCACAGATGATCCTAGGTAAGATCAAGTGAGTTTAGGCCAACCTAGGTCAAACAAGGTGAGCCCAGTAGAGCCTATTTTAGTCCAGGTGAGAATAGATGAATATGGACGAGTCAAGAGAGCATAGCAGAGCTTAGTTGGACCGAGGCGTGTTTGAGTATGGGTAAGCTAAGATAGACAAATTGAGCTAAGATCATCCATTCGAACCTAGGTGAGTCTGGGTGAGCGTAGATAAGTAAGGTCAGGTGAGCTCAGGCAAGTCTAGGTGAGCCCAGGTGAAAGTATATGAATATGGGTAACTCATTGCTTTGTTTGTTCCGTCTGTCTTGTTCCGTCTTTTTCATTGACTTCCTCCTATGTTTACTTCTGCCTGGGTTGTACTACTGTCTTCTGTATTCTCTGTGTTTACTTTCGTCTGTATTTTGTGTTTACTTCTGCTTGTTTACTTCTTTTTGTGTTTACGTCTGTGTTGTTTATTCCTGTGTTGACTTCCATTTGTGTTTACCTTTGCCCGTGTTCACCTCCTGTGTTGCTTACTTCCACCTGTGTTTACTTATCTACTTGCGCCTGTTTATTTCTGCTAGTTTTATTTGCTTCCACTTCTGGCGTTTACTTTCTCCTGTGTTTCTATTTTTTACTTACACCTTTGTTTATTTTGCTTGCTACCGCCTGTGCTTATATTGTTTACTTTCGCCTGAATTTATATTGTTTACTTTTGCCTCAGTTTTTATTTTGTTTCTTCCTGCCACTGTCATCTCGTTTTCTTCTGTTTGATAAATCTTTACACAATTTTCGTGTGATCCTCAGCGAATTAAAACGTTTAGCAGAGATCAAAGATTAAATTCCCATGTGTGTGTGTGTGTGAGATAGATAGATAGATAGAGAGAGAGAGAGAGAGAGAGAGAGAGAGAGAGAGAGAGAGAGAGAGAGAATCCCTAAGGAAGTTAAAGGAGTTTGCTGTACGTAATCAAGGAGAGCTGTTTCGAAGAGGGAGGGAGGGAGGGAGGGGAGAATTGGCCTCAGTATCTGATCTTAGCGTCATTTGCATTTTATCAAGATAATGTGAACTGAGAGGTCCTAGCAGGCGCGAGGGAACATGGGGATAAGGAGACACAAAGAAAGCTGGGATATGTCTCAAAGATAGGTAGCTGTAACCCTCACAGACTAGTATATCGACGCTATCTGAAGCAAAATGACGATTTACAGTCTAGGTACCTCATCTTCTGTTGAGAAAGTTGAGATTAAGACAGTTTAGCCGAAGGCTCTCTCCCTGCTCTCCACTTCCCTCCTGCCTCACTGTCGGCACGAAAAAGTGGGTGAAGAGAATTAACATACGATTCTGGAAAACGTAGATGGGTATTCAAGTAACCACGATGAGCTCCAGCATTGTGCATACTGTAGTTGGCTCATGTATTTCCTTCCAGTTTCCTCACAGTTAGTACTTAATTGACGGCATTCTTTTGGAGCTTCAACCTCAATGGGCAGCAGGATCCTGAGATGTATGATGGCAACGACTCATTAATTTGAAGTTATTATATAACTGAGGTACAATTTTATAAGATCAAATAAACAGGCCACATGGTTGGGTCGGTCTGTGTTTTGTGGAAAAACTCATTTGTGAAGAGTTGCTTGACTTTGAGCTACAGCTCAGCACAAGCCGACAGTGTGTCAGTCTTGCTGGTAGTGGAAGAAGGACTAAGCGTCTAACACTCCTTGTGTTCAATGACCTACACAGATTTAACAATAAAAAACCTCAAGAGAGAGAGAGAGAGAGAGAGGAGAGAGAGAGAGAGAGAGAGAGAGAGAGGTAGGTTCCTTGATGCCGGACCCCTCAAGGAAGGTTCCTTGAAGCTGCACCTGTCAAGGGAGGTTCCTTGATGCCGGACCCCTCAAGGGAGGTTCTTAGATGCTGCACCTGTCAAGGGAGATGCCTTGATGCTGCACCCCTCAAGGAAGGTTCCTTAATGCTGGCGAGGGACCCTTGATCTATGGAATTGGACCTGTGCTCCGGTTTCTTGAATCGAATCTGAATGCCTTCTGTTCCTCCCACCCTCAGGTGCTGTATGACCCCAACGGGGTTAGTGCAACCGAATAATGTCCTACGTGCCAGAGAAAGGCTCTTCATCTCAGGAACTGAACATACCCTCCCCTTGATTGGACCGAACCTGATTGCCTCCTCTTCCCACCAGGAGCTGTATGACTCCTTCGGGTTTACCTCTACCTCGTGAATGTAATAGAATTAATAATAATAATAATAATACAAATGCTACTATTCAATGTTCGTCTTTGGCGAAATAATTAATTATAATGTTTATCATAATAATAATAATAATAATAATAATAATAATAATAATAATAATAATAATAAAGTCTCATGGCTGTAGTAATTTTACTTTTAGCCAACAAGAAATAAGACTGCATTAGAGAGCACTTTTAGCCTTGTATTGAGAAACAGACACTTAGGTAGGGAACGTTAATGTGTCGTAGAACATCACACTCGGAACGTTAATGTGTCGTAGAACATCACACTCGGAACGTTAATGTGTCGTAGAACATCACACTCGGAACGTTGATGTGTCGTAGAACATCACACTCGGAACGTTAATGTGTCGTAGAACATCACACTCGGAACGTTGATGTGTCGTAGAACATCACACTCGGAACGTTGATGTGTCGTAGAACATCACACTCGGAACGTTAATGTGTCGTAGAACATCACACTCGGAACGTTGATGTGTCGTAGAACATCACACTCGGAACGTTAATGTGTCGTAGAACATCACACTCGGAACGTTAATGTGTCGTAGAACATCACACTTGGAACGTTAATGTGTCGTAGAACATCACACTTGGAACGTTAATGTGTCGTAGAACATCACACTCGGAACGTTAATGTGTCGTAGAACATCACACTCGGAACGTTAATGTGTCGTAGAACATCACACTCGGAACGTTAATGTGTCGTAGAACATCACACTCGGAACGTTAATGTGTCGTAGAACATCACACTCGGAACGTTAATGTGTCGTAGAACATCACACTCGGAACGTTAATGTGTCGTAGAACATCACACTCGGAACGTTAATGTGTCGTAGAACATCACACTCGGAACGTTAATATGTCGTAGAACATCACACTCGGAACGTTAATGTGTCGTAGAACATCACACTCGGATCGCACCTTAATTGATGATAAGAACTAAGTAGACAAACTCCAGCAACCCTCAGCATAAATGCTCAACATCAGCATCAAATATAATAACTAGAGATGTATAAAAAGATTTTAATGAAATTTTGTGTGAAAATTTTAGTAACGTTAATATATATATATATATATATATATATATATATATATATATATATATATATATATATATATATATATATATATTCATATTTATATATATATATATATATATATATATATATATATATATATATATATATATTATATATATATATGTGAGGCTCAAGTTAGAGTATGTAGGAAAGAGGGAAATTTTTTCCCAGTAAAAGTAGGCCTTAGACAAGGATGTGTGATGTCACCGTGGTTGTTTAATATATTTATAGATGGGGTTGTAAGAGAAGTAAATGCGAGGGTCTTGGCAAGAGGCGTGGAGTTAAAAGATAAAGAATCACACACAAAGTGGGAGTTGTCACAGCTGCTCTTTGCTGATGACACTGTGCTCTTGGGAGATTCTGAAGAGAAGCTGCAGAGATTGGTGGATGAATTTGGTAGGGTGTGCAAAAGAAGAAAATTAAAGGTGAATACAGGAAAGAGTAAGGTTATGAGGATAACAAAAAGATTAGGTGATGAAAGATTGAATATCAGATTGGAGGGAGAGAGTATGGAGGAGGTGAACGTATTTGGGAGTGGACGTGTCAGCGGATGGGTCTATGAAAGATGAGGTGAATCATAGAATTGATGAGGGAAAAAGAGTGAGTGGTGCACTTAGGAGTCTGTGGAGACAAAGAACTTTGTCCTTGGAGGCAAAGAGGGGAATGTATGAGAGTATAGTTTTTCCAACGCTCTTATATGGGTGTGAAGCGTGGGTGATGAATGTTGCAGCGAGGAGAAGGCTGGAGGCAGTGGAGATGTCATGTCTGAGGGCAATGTGTGGTGTGAATATAATGCAGAGAATTCGTAGTTTGGAAGTTAGGAGGAGGTGCGGGATTACCAAAACTGTTGTCCAGAGGGCTGAGGAAGGGCTGTTGAGGTGGTTCGGACATGTAGAGAGAATGGAGCGAAACAGAATGACTTCAAGAGTGTATCAGTCTGTAGTGGAAGGAAGGCGAGGTAGGGGTCGGCCTAGGAAAGGTTGGAGGGAGGGGGTAAAGGAGGTTTTGTGTGCGAGGGGCTTGGACTTCCAGCAGGCATGCGTGAGCGTGTTTGATAGGAGTGAATGGAGACAAATGGTTTTTAATACTTGACGTGCTGTTGGAGTATGAGCAAAGTAACATTTATGAAGGGATT